CAGGGCTAAGGATCCTGGAGCAGAGAGCTCGTTTCACACACTGAGATTCGCCTTGACCCGTTCCACCACCAGAAACCCCGGCAACATGCTCGTTGCTTCTTATCACCATCATCGTCATCATCACACCCACGTGCCTCAGCTCGCCCAGCCGCCACAGGCAAGCCACCTCTTTAGGCTCGCAGAGAGGGCTCGGGCTGGGGAAGTTCCGCACGTCCGAGCCAGGGCTCAGGGGGGGAAAGGCTTTCGAGGGTCCATGTCATGCGTTGGTGGGTGCACGCAAAAAGAACCGTTCCGGATCCGAATGGACTGAAAGCCTTCGTCCTAGAACCCCTAACCCTGAACCCTGAGACTAAGGTGCGACATCCTGAACGGTATTTGTGCTGTGGTTGCCGTTATGACTACGCTCATTGCTGCCCCTTGCTGTTGATACCTTTTCAGGGCCACTGCAGGTGATGTGAAGGCGTCGCCACATTGCGTGCTCAGCCACTCGAATCACAAAACCCCAAGACCCTTGCTACACCACTTGCAGTCCTACAAACTGGAACACAGAACTCAACTTGTTGTCAAAACATGTCCGACCGCCTTCTCGGACGCGATCTGAATCAAGGCCATCCTCTGGCAAAATGCAGAGAATCTAGGAACTTCCACCCTCCACAACAGCGAAAATCCTCGAGACGCTTCTCGACGAGGGTCTCCGAAACCACAGTAGCGAACTCTCAAGCCCTGAAGCTCTGCACCTGTTTTTCTGCGCCAACGCCGAACTCGGCCTGCTCTCAGAGTCAAAGCCCAGGAGTGCCTTGAACAGAGTGGCCCGGGCTAATCAGGTGATAGAGTGTCGGATTTTCAAGCTGGGGCTTCGCCGTGGGGTTTGAGAGTCCGTTCAGTGCAGAAGCTTCATCATTGTCGCAAGTATCAGAGCCCTTACAACATAAGATCAAGTGCATTGTAGAAGGTTATCGAAGCAGATCAAAACTTGGTCGGCCAACCTTCTACTGCTGTCGAAGCCGGGCGTCTGAAGGGCCCACACCGAGCACTATGCCTGTGACCTGTACTCTCACAACATCTCATAATACAAACGACAAAATCCGGAATTCGGGATTGCACCCAAACCCCTCAAAATCAGATGCAACTGCGCAGTACCAGCTAAAACAATATCACGTGGCAGCCCGAAGCCCTGGACCACCAACACCTTGAAACCTCCACATCGACCCCTTAAGCCCTTGAGAACTGCACCCGAGCAACGAAGCTGCAATGCATCGGCCTCTCCCTTGAAGAGTTCTTCGACTCGCTTCTCCTCCTCGGAAAGATACCGACATGCAGCTCAACAGTGATTCGGCCTGTCAGTATGAAGGCCTATCTGCCTCCCTCCGTCTACCTGCCGGTTACCTCCCGATTCCAAATCTCGTTTTCTTTCGCCATCTCTCTCTCTGTCTCTCTCTCGCTCTCGCTCTCTCAATCTCTCTACCTGATGTCTGCGAGTGATCAGGGATTTCGGCCCCTTCGGGGAGACCGCCGGCCCCCTCGGGGAGTCCGACCTACACCTGGTGGTGTACGGATGATGGCAAACCGGCTGAAGTATGTCATCCTACATACTCCCGGATCCTGAGTGAAAACTGTTATGTCTTATGTTTCCAACTTACTGCGGAAATGTGAATGTGTGCTGAGTGATGCCGGTTTCCTCATAGGTTGGCCCACTGCTGCTGAAAGCTAAGCTTTCGTTGCAATCGAGGAGGTTCCAGCTTGTGACCTGTTAGTTTCCGTTCAGCTGACATTCAGCTGAATGTTAGTCCACGGCGATGTGTCTTGCACAGCTCTCGTTGGCCGCGCTGAATTTGTTCCAGAATTCGGCGTGTCGCCAATGCCGCGCATGGGACCAGGGGACGGTTCTGCAAACTCAAAGCCAAAAAGTCTCAATCTCTCTCTCTCCCCGTGTCTCCCCGGGGAATGAGTCCGATCAAGTCGGACCTGCTCTCTCCCTCTCTCTTCGTCTCTCTTTCTATCTTTCTGTCCTTCGTTTTGGTGCAGTTTCCATGGATGCTTGTTCCAGATCTCGAGCATTTCCCCACCCCAGCGGATGTGTCCGTCTGGGGCCACAGTCGGTGTGAAACGTACAGAGGCCGGCCCCCGTTACAGCTTGGCCTCAACTCCAGAACCAAGCCGAACGTGGCGTGCCTGGCCTTGCCCGATCCCCGAAGCCTCGTTCTGAGCGTTGGCTCAAGACTCGAATCACAACGAGAAGAACACAGGGTATGAGCACGACTTGCCCCCGCTCCTACTGCAAGTTTGTCAATGCCCCTGCTGTCGGCAGCAAGGGCCTTGCAAAGGCTTCTGCAAAACCAAACCCTAGCTGCAAACGGTGCCCTCGCCAGGGCTTAACTTAGGTAGTAGCATCCCCGTTTCGCGGAACTGCAGGAGGCTTGGCACACAACATCTTCGGATGCTCACACCAGCCGGGTGCACTCGGATGCAAACCTGCAACACTCAAACCAGAAGCAAATTTAGTCCACAACGGCATGCATGCGCTTACGCCTGTGGTTCCGGTCGCTGCTCACACTGCTGCGCCGCAGATGGGCGGCTGGCTCAGCGGCTCAGTCCCCGTCCAGGTGAATGGTTGCCCACTCTCCTCGCCGTAGCCTACTCCAACAGGCCCACTGGTCTCCCTCGTCGCTGGAGCCGCTGTTCAGGGCAGTGTCGCCCGGCAAGTCGTCGCACTGGCTGACGGTCCACATCCCTCAGGTTGCTGGCCTCCTCGTCTGGATGCATGCCCTTGAGTCCGTGCGGCTCCCCCACGCTCTGCACCGCTAGGGTTGGGTCGTCCTCCATCAGCTTCACCGGCATCTCCCAAAGGCCACGGTTCCATTCCTGTAGGTTCCATTCCCAGGTGGTGCTGAACTTGCAGAATCGCTGCCAAGACTTCCCCGGTCACAAATGGTGTGGGGCCCGCAGGACATTGAGCCCTGAGGGATCAGGTGTGGGTTTTCCACGGTAGATAGGGACATCTTGCTCTCAAGGCCATTTCGGTTCTACTTGGGGTTCGGAAAAGGAAGAAAGACTTTCAGTGGTGTTGAGGCTGTGAAACACAGGGTTCAGACTTCACGCCTTGAAGGTCATCGCTGTGCCCGGGGGCAACGGTGGTCCGGTGTGCGTCTGGCTGGCTTGCTGGCTGGGTTGCTGGCTGTCTGTCTCTCCGTGTGTTTGAGATTTCCATGTTTGCTTAATTTTTACGGCCGTGTTTGTCGGTGTCAGTCAGCACGTGAGTCTGTGGGGACGGCTTTGCAAGCTCAAACATGGAACCAACACTGGACATCGTGAAAGTAACCGAGCTGCACATTCATACTCGCGGACACGCATCACGAAGATCAAGCTCCGGTGATCACCTCAGATAGCTGTCCCCCGCAAGCCGGGCGAAGCACACACGTCAAACGAGGGCAGCGACCGTTGAGCCTCTCTGTATATCATTCTCTCTTTTCTTGCCTACGGGGCGTAGGAGGCGTCCAAGGCCTGCCGCGCCGAGTAGCGCACCCCTGTTTAGGGGCCTTGTGAGGAGCGGTCGAGAAAACTCGTCTCTTCTGTCATTGGGCTTGGGAGACTGTTAAGGTCCCCCGGCCTAGTGGCCCCCCATCTGTCTCTCTTCTTCTTCTCCGGGGTCCAGGGAGCTTGTCAGGCCCCCCACGCCGATTGGCATGCCCCTGTTGTGGGGCCTTGTGGGGGTGTCGGTAAAAGACACGTCTCTATTTATTCTATTCTTCGGGGCATAGGGTGCGAGTCAGGCACCCCGCGCCGTGAGGCGCACCCCTGTTTCGGGGCTNNTAGTAGAAAGTATGGATGCTCGGTTTGAGGAGAGAAAAAGATATAGCTGGGGAAAGTGCCCTGAAGTCTGCATACGAAGCTGGACACGGGCCTCTCTCTCTCTCTCTCTGGCCCTGTCCGTCTCACTCGCTCTGCGGGAAACACCCAACCTGCAGAGCGTCCTCTGGGCTGGAGATGACAAGGATCCTCCCCGGAAACTGCAGCAGGGGGAGCCGTGCCTGGCTGCACGTCCCTGCATATATTACAGGAGCAGACCTGCAAACTCAGCAAGTGCTAGGATTCAGACTTGTTTCCATTCTGGCTATGGAAGTGAAACGTCTCGGCGCACACAGGAGTCGCCTGCATTATTGGGGCACAAGCTTGAGGCTGTCAACACTCTACGGAGAACACACCCTTTGGGGCCAAGGATCCTCGTGGGACCAAGGGCTCAAGGTGCTGTGACCATCTGGCTTAGCAGGCCAGCCCGAAAGCCAAGAGTCCCAGAAGCCCTGAACCCAGGAGCGAAAACCCTGGACCACTGCAAAAGCCGCATAAGGAAGTGTCCAAATCCTGGGGACTGGACAATCTCCAGAGCTGAGACATGCAGTTTCGGGGCAGGAGGGACCACCTCCACCGCAACCTAAATGATGCAGCACGAAGCTCGGATAGCTTGGCTTCTATGAGGTGTTTCATTGAAATGTACGAATGGTTCCAGGATATGGGCATGATGCTCGAGTTTCAGGCTGGAAATTCAAAGTTCTGGGGTGTGTGGATGTAGTTCGGAGAAAGCAAGATTTGGAAGGTGCCCCCAACTCCTAAGCTTGAGAGCTGTGAGCCGCATTGTGAAGCACGGTAGGATCCTTATCCTGAGATCATGTACCCATCTTGAGAAACACCGCGCTGTCCGAACTACTCTCCGAGGCAGTGGCAGATCTGACGGACACCAGGCAGCCCCTGCCACGCGACATGGAAGCCACAACTTGGGGGCCTCCAATTCAAGGCCTTCCGATATGGGTCTAGGGCCTAGGCTGCAACCTTGAACTCTGCAGCACCTGACAGCTGTCCGCAAGACTTTTGGACTTCGTCGCGCACCTTCTTCCGAGGCTCGCAGCCCGCATTTCGGAAGTCCATGCTGCGCTCCTAGGCAGGTCGACGGTCTGGGTGAGGGCTCGAAAGGGCGGAATCGTCGCTTCTTTGCGCTCACTCACACCTGAGCCACCAGCGTCACCACTCATCTGTGAGCAGTTCACGGGCAGCCATTGGGGCACGTGTACGCAGGTCGGTACAGGGCTGTGGTCCAGGAGATGCAAAGCTTACAACCGGCCAACACGCCACCACTCAAACTGAACAGGGCTTCCTGGGGCATAAGGCTTGCTCTGCTGTGCTGCAGCATTTGGACATGCGTAAAATTCTTAAAGCCCTCCTCTGCAGTGCTTCTGCAGGCGGCGGAAACTGCAGAAAGTATGCTTGCAGTGACGCACGATCTGCCTGAGGGTTGCAGTGGCCTATATACACGTGTCCAGTAAGGACGAGCGGATCAAATCCAGCAAAGGATCACGATGCAAGGCAACGCCGCGACAGGAGAATCTAGATCTGGGTCATACGTAGTGTTAAGTTACGTGCTCCATCATAGTGCTTGGACCGCTACGGATGTGAAAACTCGGGTCATGCACTTCTTTCGCAGCCGCGGAGCGCGAAAATTGTAAGGTCTGTCGGCTCCTAAAACTGCTGGGCTCCGCATCAGCGGAGCTCGAACACAAGTTGGAAGCCTTCAGGAAAAACGCCTGTTGAAATCGACCTCGGTGGGTGCACCCCGCAACAGAATCGGATCCACGGTGCGGGGCGTAAAAACAGTGTCTCAAGTTTCACTGCGCTGAACCCGACACCCAAATAAATCCTCGTTTTTGAAAGCAGTGAGAGATGTATCAACGGCGAACAAGCTGTTAACCCATAAGCCTGAGCCCTTAACCAAATCCTCAAGCCTGAACCCTGCGCCTAAAACAGAAAAGCCCCAAACCTTAGCCTCCAATCCTGAACCTTCGAGCATGGAAAGCCCAAGTTACTTGACCGGCCGTTGCATCTCGGCCATCACCTGCGCCGAGAGCCCCTCCTGTGGCAACAAGGCCGTTTTCTATTTAGGGCGCAGGGATGACGCTTGAGGTCTTACGTTTCGGGTTCAGGATGCTTTGCACAGTGTGCTTCTCAAGAACAAGAACTGTTGTATCTATCCTGAAAGGCTGGGTGCCTAAAGCCCGAAGGTAAGGATTTCTGCCACAGGATACCCCCGGTTCGATACAGTAGAACTCTCATATTCAATCAGTATCATCCAGAGCCGACCATCCAAATCCATGTCAGGCTGCTGCACAGATGCTCCTCAACCCTAAGCCCCGAGGAGTGCAAACGGAGCAAGAACTCAAATGACGCATGATGCGGCAATCGCAGCACAGAATGGCTACCGGTCGACGGGCAACAACGAGAAAATCGCAAGAAATCAAAAAGCACAATCAACTTGAGCACCGTTCTTCGTGGCAGGTGAGTGGTATCAGATAAGGCAAGCAAGCCCAAACATTGATCGCACGAAGAGGCAAGAAGAACAGTGCTTGCACCGGAAGAAGAAGCATGATACGACCCTGGCTGCGAGTACTCGTACTCTGACTACCAACATTGGCCAAACCCTGAATGTCAAAGCCATCCCTAACCGTAGAGCCCTAGAGTCGAGGCCTTCGCTTTGACCCCTGGCTCAAACGCCGCTTGCCAGGTGTGCCGGGAGCCTGGCTGGGGCTCAAGCGGGCATTCCGAAGTTTTACAGCTTCAGGTGATGTCGGTGTGATTTGAACACCTAGGTTTCATTCGTTTGGCATCAGCTTAGGGCCCGAGGATCTGCAATGCTGCTGTTTCGGAAGCCGGGCTTATGATTTTTTGCATCGAGCTTAAACGGAACACCCGGAAACTTCGCAGGGCCAGTCTTCGCCGGGAATCTCTGGTTCCCTGCAACAACGCTCTAGCAGATGCGCCTTTGGCGCTTCTGCTACCTTCGCGGGGACGACCTTCTCGACTTCCTTCTCCTGCAGCTGTCTACAGGGTGCACAAGAACTGAAGTACAAGCCTCACAACAATCCCCTACAGCGTTCAGGCACGAAGCCTGAAACCTCCCGACCCTGAATTCTGTCAGGAAGTTAAGGCAGAACTGGCTTGCATGTTCGCTGGTAGTGACGACGATTCGGGTTAAGATCAGCCAGGCAATCTCTTGGCCGTGAGTTTGCTTACCGTCTGAGCGCGCAGGAAAAACAACATATAGAATATGTATATTTGACAACATCCCAGAATATGCCAAGCTCCAGAACCCCAAGCCCTTAAAGGAGCGAGCCGACGACTTGGCCTCCACCATCATGCTTGCAGGCACCTGCAGGCATGTGCGGATATGCGAGCTGGGTCGGACTCAAGTAGCACAGCACGATCTGGTAAGCCAAGCTCATGCTGTTGTTTTCGCACCCTGTCTACAGGAACACGCCAGCTCCTCAAACTAACCTCCACCTCCATCTAAACCCCAATGTGTCAAACCCCTCTTTCATGCCTTGGCGAAGCCCACGCCGGCCCCCTTGAAGGACTCCTCCTCATCTTGGGCCTTCATCTCCTGAAGTCCACATTATTCTCGCAACTAAAAAGCTTGTTCAAAGTGCTCAGGGCTTGGGACCCTCTGGACTGGACTGGGGATCGAGGACCGGGTTTCCATAGCTCCACACGCTTCGACGGGCCGGCCTTGGCCTTCTTGCGCTCCTCTTCCTCCTCGCAACTCTTCGGGGTTTCAGCTCGTTTCGCGACGTGTCAGTCGGAAACAAATCTGTCAGCATTCGAAACATTCTCCGGTCTTTATCGCACTGGGACTCTGAGCCGACACGAAAACGAAAAAAACGCATTGATGTGTGTCGGTAACCTGCTCTGCTGTGCCTACGTCGCATCTAGGGTGCAACTGGTAACCGTCACCATCATCAACAGCAATAACAACATCCTCATCGCCGCCACATTCAACATCATTCTCATCATCAGCTGCAGCAGCATCTACATCATCAGCACCATCAGCATCGGCATCAGCATCACCATCTTCCGCTTCAAACGCAGTAGAGGAGTCAGCCTGATCAGAGACAGAGTCACCTTAAGACTTCGCTCAAACCAAGAGAACTCACCTTGATGTGCTCAAAAAGCACGGAGTGTTGCTCAACGATCGTGTTGTGACACTGAGACCTCAGAATTCGCACGGTCTCGAAACTCGTTAAAATCCCCACAACCTTGGGAACCCTTAAAAGCCTTAAACACGTTAAAACGAGCGTGAAAAGATTGAACAATTATTGTTTGCTCAATTTGCTAAGCTGTTTTGAGGCTTTGAAAGCGTTAAAATCCTTGAGGCTTTTTGAAATCCTTGAAAATCCTTGAAGAACCCTTGAAAACCTTGAAATCCTTAACATCTTTAGCATCCTTAAAATCCTTCAAGAATTGGGAGAAACAGCGATGTTTCAAACCTTTTCAGGAATTTAAAGGACAACGGAGCCTTGGCCAAATAGAGCATAAAGGTACTACATACATGTGTATTGATATACATATATATATATATATACATATTTATTTGTTTATTTATATATTTATTTATTTATATACATATAATATATATATATATATACATACATACATAATATACATATATATATATATATCTCTCTCTCTCTCTCTCTGTCTCTTTCTCTCTCTGCTCTCTGCTCTCATGCTCCATTACGGTGCCACATCATGTGGTCGTCGTCAGCGGTGTATCAGTAGCAGCAACAGCTACGACGACTAGCGGCAACGCCCTCGAACCCCAAATCCCCTGCGCCATAACGGCGGAGCCCAGGGTCCGTCTGCAGGGTGCCATCCAGGTACTTGCGGTACTCCGGAAATTCCTGCTCAAAGGTTTTCGCATTTTGGATTGAAGTCTTGGGGTTCGAGTTCTGGGGTTCCCTACATGGGCTCAGGCATCGGGGTGTTTGATTTCACCTGCTGTCAGCGGTTTGACACTGGCTTGGGGCTGCAGCTCGTCTTAAGCGGCTTCACGCGCTTCCCTTTCGGGTGACAGCCGCTTGGTGAAGCCACGAAATGGACGTCTTCACCACCGCATGAGTCCTATCGTTGTACAGGTAGCTCGACTCCTATGTCTAACCATGATTCCACAGGATGAAAGTGGATCGATCTACGGTCCTGAGGCTCGGTAAGGCACTGCAACCCTCACAAACGGCCTCCCCCAGCTGATTCTTAATGAAGAAGGTCTGGCCGTTGGTCACGAGATTGTTACAAAGCCTTAAGAGGAGGAATGCGCTCGCAAGTCGACTCCGTCTGGGACTAGGGCGAGTAGGGCTTTTGTTATGAAGGGTGTAGGAATCATGAGAGGATTTAGGGCTTCCTGGTTTGGGGCTTCGGCTGAGGGGCTCAGGGCATTAGCGTGAAGGGGGGTTTGTAGATCAGGGTGCTTTGGTTGAACTCAGTCGAAACTCCTGTGTCTAGTTTACTACACCTCAATCCGCCGCAAAACCTGATGTGGGTTCTCAGCAAAAAGAAGGTGTCAAGTGCTTGAAGGACCCACCCCACCCGCCCCAGGCCAGCGCACCCCCCACTCACCCAGCCCCACCCACCCAGCCTTTGGAGCGCGTGACACCAAAAGCAAAGCCCTGAACTACAGTCCCCCGCGAAGACCAGCGCTGGCAGAAACAGTCACATCTCGAATCTCCGCGACCCGAAACTCAGGCCCCGTCCAATAGATCCCGAGGCCCTGTGGGCTCACCAGGCTCGTGTAGCCGATCACCAGCCTCGGATGTTTGGAGCGCTTCTGCGGCGTGGGTGTCGAATACTCAGGTGGTGCCACCCTTCAAATCTAATGCGCTAAGTTTGGGGGGTCCAAAGGCAGACAAAAACCTGCATCAGCATTCGCTCGAGGCGAGTGGCGGGATGACGGCGTTCACGATCTGTGCCGGACCACCCCTGCATTGGCTGCTGAGGGTTCAGGTCGGGGCCAACAGTGCTTAATGTATGGAAACTTTTACCATCCTTTACCTGTGTGAAGGTGTCTCAGAGATTCTCAGATGACATGTCGGGGGTTTCGCAGCGTCTCGCATGAATGCAAGTCATGGCCCACACGTCGACCTCTGATTCCTGCATTTTCAATCGGACGTAAACAGCCTTGCGCCTGAAACGAACTATTCAACTTATATTCTTAGGACAGGGTCTGCTCGGCTTCGGGCGCCTTTGGCTTACCTTCGCCTATTCCATGCAGCTGTTTGAAGCCGTCAAGTTCCTGACGTCAGAGAACCGAACCATAAAAACAAGAACGCACACCTCCCAACGCGAAAGAACTCCTTGAAACCAGCTTTCCACTGACCCCTTTCTAAACCTGCCGGGGCCCAGACTGGTTGCCGACCTCCGGATTACTGATCCTCTGGGTGATGACCTGACCTCGCTAGCTGCGGAGGTTTGGGGCCCCCAGAAAGGCTTCGAAATGCAACGCTTTGCGGCAGAAAAGGCCCGGGAGTCATGCTGCTTTGGGAACGAGCATTAATAGCATCGTACTGGGGCTCCAAGACTGTCAACTTTGAACTAGGAGCTGGGGCCTAGGCGCTCTCATGGTAGCTCCTGGTAGCTTCCCGGGGCCGGTCAACATGGCCGTAATCGACTTGATGATAGGACTGCTGAAGGCTAGGCGGCTATGTTGATGACGACAGGAGTGACGTTGACGACGACAACCAGGATGGTGATGGTGATTGTAAGGGTGAGGACGGGGACTAGACTCTCTGAATAAACGACACATATGGCAGGAAGCAGGAGACCAAAGTGAGAAGCCGCAATCGTACTCGTGACCGGTCATGTCAGAGCCAGCACTTCCCACCAAAGCCCCCGCCCCAGCCCGTACCCCAAGCCGCAAGCCTCCGCTCAATCGAAAGCACGGCAAGCTTTATGTCTCCACCAACCCTACGCTTGCCGACCCGAGAACGACTGAGGAAGGTGCACCGGCTTGCCTGCCCCCCACAAAATCCTTTGCCGGTCTACACACCCATGTTTTCTTTCGAGAAACACCGTAGGTTGGACGCTGCTGCCGAACCGCAAGAAACGTCGCAAGGCAAACAACCCGTGAAGGGCGAAACCGCTTCTACATGGTATACACAAAAATGCGGGGACGAGAAGCTGAAACCAAAAGGCCCAGAGCCCCCTGCTAAATATTTAAACCTTACATCACCCTAAAGCCCAACGGCCCTGAGCACCCAGCTGGCGATCAGAGTCATTGGGAGGATCAGGTAACGCCCGGTCTCCTCCCTAGCATAGCAAGACTCTCAGCATTGGTTCGGGGTCCGAAGGTCTTGTCGGCACACTTTGGCCTCGTGGTGCCACTGCCACTAGGTTTCGGGCTTGGGGAACTCCACTGATTGTGAGTCTGACCACGGTGAGGCCTTGGAGCCTGAGGACTACGAAGTCCCAGAGCCTCGGAGTCCTGCTTCCTAAAAACTACACGGACATCAACACCCTAAAATCTCTGTACCAACAATTATCCTCGACCCATGCCCTGAAGGCACATCCTAAACCCTTAATTTCGTGGACTCGTAGATCATGGGAGATAGGACTCCCACCAGCCCAGGTTTGGGATGTACTCCGTCTGCGACTGCGAGGTGGTCAGCCATTCCTGCGAGGCTCAGGGCTGGAAAGCTGGGCATGGGGGGCATACATAGAGTTTCACATGACATGTGCTGTGCATGGTTTGATAAGTCCCGTAAGGGTTTTACACCGCGTCGCTCCTCAGGGAGGGAATTCAGGGCACTTAGGGTCGAAAGGTTATTGACTGACGGAAGGTGGGAAGGGGGGGGGTATGATTGTGATTCCAACCAGAAACAGCAGAAGCGGAGGTTCGGAGTGCTTCATGGAGCTTGTTTTTTTTTTTGCAAACAATGCATCCGAAATCCTTGGACCTGATCAACTAACACAGTCAAAGCCGCCAGTCGTAACCCAAACTTTGAAGAAGCACCATGGCATCAAGATCAGCTCCACACCCAAGACACTGGTTCCCCAGAGCTCGAAACTCTGATTTGTACATTGAGCCTAAACACTGAACCCTCGAGAGACAACCCTGAACCCGAGACGCATCAAAACCCCATGCCCGGTCCAAGCTTGGGCTGCCCGTCACGGGCCCGGCCAGGGAGGGGATCCACAGGAAGGGCTCCTTGCCACCGCGCTCTAGCTGGCAAAAGAAATACAACTACCGAGCAAGACCTCGTGCATCTGCATCAAGATTCAGCTTCAACAGTCTCGGGGACTCGATACCCAACTGCAACTTTGCCTTGAACTTTGGGTTGATCTCCGCCAACTTCAGGATCGATCGGTAAAGGCCGATGAAGATAGGAATCTGGCGCCAACCCGAATTTTTGCACATCGGGGTGGAGGAACATCCGACTGGTTCTGTGCTACCTCACTCTCACTCACTCTTCTTCTTCTTCTTCCTTCTTCCGACGCGTTGGGGCTAGTGTCGCCAAGCCGTTCCTAGGCGCCCCCCCCCCCTCCCTCTTTGGTTTGTAGGGAACAAACTTTGGGGTTGTTTAGGACGCTTTTCACCCCCCCGGTTCGGTTTGACTGGAAGTGAAACGTTGCTGCAAACACCTCCAAACCCTGAAAATCCTGGCACTCTCTTTCTTTCTCTCTTTCTCTCT